ACTTACTTTCATCCAGGTTAATTAAGGGATCATTCACTTATTTTCATCCAGGTTAATTAAGGGATCAATCACTTACTTTCATCCAGGTTAATTAAGGGATCAATCACTTATTTTCATCCAGGTTAATTAAGGGATCATTCTCTTACTTTCATCCAGGTTAATTAAGGGATCATTCACTTAGTTTCATCCAGGTTAATTAAGGGATCAATCACTTAGTTTCATCCAGGTTAAATAAGGAATCATTCACTTAGTTTCATCCAGGTTGATTAAGGGATCATTCACTTAGTTTCATCCAGGTTAATTAAGGGATCAATCACTTACTTTCATCCAGGTTAATTAAGGGATCATTCTCTTACTTTCATCCAGGTTAATTAAGGAATCATTCACTTAGTTTCATCCAGGTTAATTAAGGAATCATTCTCTTACTTTCATCCAGGTTAAAAAAGGAATCATTCACTTAGTTTCATCCAGGTTAAATAAGGAATCATTCACTTAGTTTCATCAAGGTTAATTAAGGGATCATTCACTTAGTTTCATCCAGGTACATTAAAGGATCATTCATTTATTGTCATCCAGGTTAATTAAGGGATCATTCACTTACTTTCATCCAGGTTAATTAAGGGANATAGTTAGATAGTTAGATAGTTAGATAGTTAGATAGTTAGATAGTTAGATAGTTAGATAGTTAGATAGTTAGATAGTTAGATAGTTAGATAGTTAGATAGTTAGATAGTTAGATAGTTAGATAGTTAGATAGTTAGATAGTTAGATAGTTAGATAGTTAGATAGTTAGATAGTTAGATAGTTAGATAGTTAGATGGATAGCTAGGTAGAGAATTAGATATAGTATAGTTAAAAAGATAGATAGATGGATAGCTAGGTAGATAGTTAGATAGAGTATAGTTAAAAAGATAGATAGATGGATACAAAGTTAAATTTTAGTATATACAAATAGTAGATATTATAGAAAGTAGATTATTTCGGATTTTTCAAAGAGAACATTGAGGGGGGGGGAGCAAGGGGGGGCAGCAAATAAAGCCTGAAAACATTTTTTAATAAAGAAATAGAACAAAATTTATCCCTTTTATCCGACTACAGTCCCTTTATCAGATGTGTGAGCACTGTGACCGAATGCAATCTAAGAAAATGATAAAGATAAAAAGATAAAGGATAAATGTATTGTTTCCGGTTTTACAATCCGTAAAATCTTAGTTCCAATTCTAACAACGAAATGACCGTAAAATCCTACATAATATTCTAAGTACGATTTCCCTGGGCCCACACTATGTTTCCACCGGACTATATCTGAAGGATCTCTGAGTCAGATTTAAAAAGGCTATTTCTAATTTTTTTATTTAAGGAAGTTCAGCATATATTTACAGTAAATGATATACTGCATGAATTACGGTGGTTTACATTAAAAAGGAAGGAACAGTTCTGTTCTGAGGTAGTCAGGTCATGTGACAGTATATCGTCAGTTCATCAGAAATTGACTCCCTATTAAAATAAGAGATCTTTTGAGGAAGAGTTGTTATTCATGCTACGAAAAAAATGTGTTTTTTGAGTTCTTGTATAGAAAATAACTTTTTTACAGAAATGGCGATGAATTTCTCTATAAAGTGGTAATTTTTTTAAATCAGAGATCTTTTGAGGGATATTTTTTATTCTTGGTAAGAATAAAATGTGTTTTTTGAGTTATTGTAGAAAATAACTTTTTTTTTTACAGAAATGGCGATGAATGTCTTCATAAAGTGATCATTTTTTTCTTTTGTTTTCTAGTAATGGCGGAAAAAAAATGTTGGTTTTGTTTTTAGACATTTTTTTAAATATGGCGGAAAATAATCTAGCATTTTCTAGTAATGGCGGAGAATCTGACTTTGAACGGGATAATGGTCCAGACTCTCCGACTTCCAGGTATACATTAATTATTATTATATTAGTAATGTATATTTTCTTTTACATTTTAGACTTTTAATTGAGGCTCCACAAGATTCTGAGATGCTTTTCAAAATTGTATGCTCGATAAGTTTGTTTTAATTGCATTATGCAACATGTTTACTCTGACCAAAAATATCAAACAAAACGATCTGTAAATACCTTTGTTTTCATTTTATTTAAATTTTTAATTATTATATTCAGAGTTTCAAAAGTTAGGTGGTCATTCAAAAGTTTAAGTATTTGCATTTACAAAGATCCAAAGAGCTTTACAATTATGCATCCAATTTTTAGACCTGGTCTAAATTAAAGTGTTGCAACCCCTTAGCCTTCGGTTTTAAATTACTTACTCAATTTTTGTAGCCCTAGATTGTTACTTTTTAAAATACTACGGTAATGTTTCTAGCTTTCGTTTAAATGTAGTAATTGGTCAAATGCTTAGAGTACTTGAATGCAGTTGATCATTGCTTATATATTTTAAATCTTTATTTAGAATAAGCGGAAAATTAAAAAAAAAATATATATTAAAAAAGATAAAAAACATATGGAAAAAAGTGACAAAAAAAAATTTCTAATTTTTTTAGCCAAACACCCCTCGGCCACCCATGAGTGTCCGCAAAAAAAATTCAGCCCAATCGGTCCAGCCATTTGGCCGTCCATACGCAACATAAATATGAATTGTCTTGTTTTACTATATAAGGCCTGAAGGGCCCGCTTTGCCGTGATAAAAAACTAAAAAAAAATATTTTGAGGAAAAAAATGTTTGAATTTTTTAGCCTATAACACCCCCAGGACACCCATGAGTGTCCACACAAAATTTCAGCCCTATCGGTCCAGCCGTTTGGCCGGCTATAGGCAACATATATATCAAGTGATAACCAAAAAACTGTGGANCCTCCCCTCTCCCCATTAACCTACATCTTCATTCATGGGTTTTCTGTTTATTTATGTCTACCCCCTGCCAATCCATAAATCTAAGCTATAGGTCCATAAATGAGAATAAAATATCTGAACCCGGCCTTATCCATAATATAATGGCAATATACTATCTGAACCCGGCCCAATCCATGATATGCCGGCATTATACTATCTGAACCCGGCCCAATCCATGATATGCCGGCATTATACTATCTGAACCCGGCCTAATCCATGATATGCCGGCATTATATTATCTGAACCCGGCCTAATCCATGATATAACGGCATTATACTATCTGAACCCGGCCTAATCCATAACATAATGGCAATATACTATCTGAGCAAAACGAAAACCCTATACAGAGAACCATCATGAAGGAGACTTGAAGGGGAGTTTTTGATCGCTTCTAATTTTACTTCTATCCTCAGCGCAGCTTCTAAAAAGGAAAGGGTTGAACATCTAATGCCTTGGATGGAGATGTCCAATCAAACTCACGGATTTTATTAACCCCATTCCTGCTGAGGGGGGGGGGTCAATTTTTCTAAACACCCTCCTATTAGGTCTAAAACCGGGCTTTTATGCTAACTGCCTGAGTCCTCAGGCACACTGCCTGATTAACTATTTTTTCCTGTAACAAAGTAAATGTTTGTTTTGAACCACTTTCAGTCTTCAGATTTTGATAATGTTAAGCTTTTTGGAAAGCCTATGGCATAAGGAAATGGATTGCACAAGTTTTGCGAAGAAATGTTCGCAAAATATTTGCATACAACGATCGTCAAAAGAAATTTGCACATTTTTAGTTTTTCTTATTTAAAATTTTGCAACAAATTTTGCATATTTGAACTGGCATGGTCTAGAGCTTTTCAAAATGTATATTTTATCATTTTTTAGACATTTTTTATTTCAAACATTTTTACTTTTTAACTGGATTTTACAAAAAAATTAAATTTTGCAATTTTGCAAATTTGTTTGCAGGTTTTAAAATTAGAGCATAATAGCTTTCCAATTATGTATTATTTGTCATATTTGGACATCAAACATGGGATTTGATCGGGGGGGGTCAAATTGACCCCCCCCCAGCATATCCTGGCTTTCAAATACCCCACCAGGGCCGGGATAGGGTTAAAATATAAATGATACGTGGCATTCTCGATCAGTTGCGCTCAAGGGAAGATTTGTGGAGAACGATCTATATGACTAAAAATATTGTCTTCTCGTTAAAAAGTTACACTCGCAGCCTTTGAAGATAAAAATAGTTCGATGAATAAAAGCAAAATTTGATTTTTTATAAGGTTGCTTTCATGACATTTTTTTGAAAATCGTTTTTTTGAATATCTTTGGGGAGACAAAATTTTTTTGTTGAGCCTCTTAAAAGTAAAAAAAAGCTTTGAATGGTTAAAAACGAAGCTCAAACTTTGCCCATCAGTAATTATTTAAAAGCCTAAAATACCCTCTAGCTTTCTTTTCAAAGAATGCATTCAAATTAGAAAATTTAAATTTAATGAATTCATAACTTTTTTATCCTGTAGTTTTATATTTAATGTTTAGGTGAGACTGTTGACAGGTCACAGACTCTGCCCGGTAGAACAGTTTACAGAAACAATCAACAGAGATGCTTAATAGGAGGTAATCCATCAATCACTCAATCAATCAATCAATCAATCAATTGTATGTACGAGCTGTCCCACAAGACACATCAATTAAGAAACGACTTGAACATCGTCTTTTATGACTACTCTTTTGAACAATTGAAATTTGAAATTTATCAAACATCCGGAAATTTAAAATTTGAAATTTGAGCATAATAATGAAGGATTTGAAAAATGCCAACAATGATTTTTTACCTGTAAACTTATTTAACAAATACATTCATTAATTTATATTTCAAAGGTCAAATACGATCTTTGAGTCGACTCTCAAATGTGATGTTTTTTGGAACACCCTGTAGTTAAGAATTATTGGAGTGAGTAAAAACCTATTTCCAAAAAAGGCCGCCTCTGGTTTTAGTGGATTTACAGTTTATGCAGTTTATACAGTTTATACATCCGGGGTTTTACCTTGCCTCGCCTTTCCTTAGTTTTGGTATTTTTCTTCTTATCCCAACCAACCTACAGACATATTACATAGATTCAGCCTCTTTATAAAAAGTCTCATCAATTTTTACAGGGTCGATTTTGAAGTGTCGCAATGCCTTGGGATATAACTCACTTATGCTTTTCTGTAGCCCTTTCTATGTAAATTTTAGCATTAAGCAACATTTGTTGTTAGCTTTAGTCTTTAAGAAGTAATTGGCAAAGCTCTCATACATTTTTGCTTGAGATCTTGAGGCCTATAAATCACACACTGTATTTGCATCGTCCCAAAACTTGAATGCCTCGTAAGGACTCCTGATTTAAAAAGGCAGTTTAGCTTGATTTCTCTCTCTAATAGGAAGTTGAGTTCGAACCTCCTTGTTATACTCATAGATAAAGATAGATTGCGCATAAGATGACATTTTTCATCTTGAAAGATATAAATGTACAGATGTTCCTAAGGAACCACCAGGGCCTGTTCCTAAGGAACCACCAGGGCCTGTTTTTCGACAACTTCCTATTTAAGGAACTCTGGATGAAAATGACTTTGCTGCCTTGGGACTAGAGACTTTTCCTTCTTCTTTGAGGAATTACATTTGGCTTTAAAGCAGAGTAAATGCGTCATAAGTACAGACTATTTAAGGCAAAATGGAACAGACCGCCAAATAAAGCATCCCCATCTAATGAAATTTATTTGACTTACAAAACTAAAAAAATCGAATTATAAATGTTTAAATTTTTTTTTTCAGGTCGCCCTATGAGCGTTAATTCTAGCTTCGACAGTGAACCACACATTACAGGAAATCATTAAAACATAATTGTACTTTTTTATCCTTTTTTCTTTCTTTCTATTTTTTATCTTATTTACTGTGTTCTGTAGGCAGCAGTGCTGATCTCTAATTGAATGACTGAACTAAAGTAAAATTTATTTCAATTTCAACAAAGTTAAACCTAAAATGAAGGAGAGAACTGAAAATAACAGTTTTCAACATTTTTACATGCTCAACAAATCCTGAGAAAACGACCCAAGGGGGTTTATGGCCTAGAAAGGGACTGTGTCTTTAAATTAATTCATTATGATAGTGAAGTACTTTTAAAGGGACTGACAACATAATTTAAAGTGAACTTTGAACCTTTGTAGTAAAGATGACTGAGATATCCTTTCTTTCCTGAAAAAAGGATAATTTTCATTTGTGGTTTCTATGTCAAATGACATTACCTGACGAAGACGAAAAATAAGCTGTCAAAACTTAAATACTTTTAAATATTGAAAACCAATTATTTTTCATTATTTAAAGCGAGAATCGAGTAAATGTAATCTGTAAATGGAGACTTACTTAATTTTAATTACGGTAACAGTCTCTTTAAAGTGTAGAAAATGTACAATGATTAACTCCAGGAATTCCCCGAGCTCACTTCCATCCTGATCCTGGAGCTCAGGGAGGACCAGGAGGACAAGTAGGACAGGGAGGACAGGGAGGATATCCTAGACAATCCTCTCTCCAGTTCCCCAGACAATCTTCTCTAGGCAGGATTTATATGTATGTGTATATACACGCTATGCAAACCCAACCCCAGTGAAGGGGAGGAAAGTTCCAAACAATGATTTTGCCAAAACTTGTCACTCAGGTTTTGAGATAAGCACGTTTTAGTACTTTTCCCCTGCATTGCAAATGGAAATTTCATTGCTAAAAACGCGGAATGTATGTTTACAAACTTTCCTTGCATAAACTCCAGAAGTTTAGAAAAGCTCTTAAAACCTGTTTATCGATGAAGTTTCTCTAAATACAGATATTTACTCTGCAACATTTAAACCACTACCTCACACACTTCATCTAGATATAGTAGATATAGGCAATAAGATAAATAAACGATAAAACTTTGAAACCTAGTAACTTCTCCAGTTTGACTATACACCTGAGAGAAAAGAAAACTGTTATGATGAATATAAAGATTTTAATATCTTAAGAAAAAAAATTTCAGTNACTATTGACATGTATATATAGGATACTGGATACTTTATTGACAGGTATATATAGGATACTGGATACTATTGACATGTATATAGGATACTGGATACTTAAGTGACAGGTATATATAGGATACTGGATACTATTGACATGTATATATGATACTGGATACTTTAGTGACAGGTATATATAGGATACTGGATACTATTGACATGTATATAGGATACTGGATACTATTGACATGTATATAGGATATTGGATACTTTAGTGACAGGTATATATAGGATCCTAGATACTTTATTGACAGGTACTTATAGGATACTGTATACTTTATTGACAGGAAAATTGGATACTGGATACTTTAGTGACAGATATATATAGGATACTGGATACTTTAGTTTCAGGTATATACAGGATACTGGATACTTTATTGACAGGTAAATAAAGGATACTGGATACTTTAGTGACAGCTTGGGATACTGTATACTTTAGTGACAGATTAAATGGGATACTGGATACTTTAGTGACAAGTATATATGTAGTAAATGCCCTACTCCATAAGGGTTTCTCAAACCCGCATCTATCCAGGTACAACTCAGTTTCACTTACTATCAATATCAAAACCCGTACACTATCTCGTGAACTATCAATGCCAAACCAATAAATGTGGAACTAACATCTACTTTTTTACTCTACAGAGGTTTGGTCCATCACCATCACTGAATTTAAAATCCAATGGGAACTATCTCTTCAGCTATCGATGTCAACAAATACACTAGCTTGTAAATTATCAATGCCAAACCAATGGGCACAATCTACTCAACTCGTTTGTTAAAAACAAGGAACGATTACTCTCTTACTGTAATCAAAGCTGAGCATCTTCCAACTAATGTTGTTGACACAAATAAAAGAACAAAAGGGATATTCCTTAACTTTATTGAATAATAAAATCAAATTTGTTTTAAAATAGTGACCCTTAAAATTTGGAGCGGATATAGTTTTATGTATTGTAAATCTTGTGCGGTCAACTTCGCTACACAGTAGTAATCGTCTTCGTGTTTTCTTGAATTTGTTACAAATGTGTATTTATATATCTATGTTACATATTAATTTTAATATACGTATTTACAAGATTAGCGCATATATATATATAAGCGTAGTTAAGCCACTGACGTAGTTATAAATTAATCATAATACAGGATAATTCGTATTTACAAACATAGCAAGGCAAGGTTAATCGCATTACAATCGCATTTCGATTTACAGATAATGTACAACGTAATTTCTAGGTATGTTCAGGTTAACAAATATGGGGATTGTTGTTTTTATTACAATAAAGAATACTGGGTTTCCCTTGGAAACAAATTATCGTGCCACTTTGAGCAATTCCGCATAAATGAGATTGTGAATTCCGCCAACTTTTTAGCGAATTTGTTCAGCTATGCATAAATGAATGTTGCGGAAGCAAGCTCAAACGTTGCATAGTTTCGTCCAAAAATCAATAAATGAATTGAAAATTGCGCGAAAAATGGTATTAGCAATAATCTCCCAATAATTTTGTGACGCGCAAAATGGACATTCCAAGTTGTTAGAATGACACATTTATCGTTCCAGCCTATTCTTTGATGTGCGCGCATTTGTTTAGAAGCCAAAAAAGTAGGTGATTAAAAAAGTGTCATAAATATATGATGTGCTACATATTTCTTTAGTGACAGTCATTTAAAAAAAAAAGGAATAAAATCAAATTTTCACATTTTCAGGAATGATCGAGTAATGTTTAGAGACGACAAAGGATATCAAAGTGATCATAATACAAGGTGATTAAAGATTAAACGAAAAAAAACACATCGGAAATAGTAAGTAATTGACGATAGTAAAAAGACAAACGTGTCAATTATTTACAATTATTATATGAAGTTGTATTGGTTATTTTAATTAATAATATTATGGGTTCGATATCGAAAATATTTCATATAAATGTTCATTGATAAATATACTGATAATGGATGGTTCGGCTTTAATATTCTACAGCAAAATTTTGAAAAAAAGTTTGTTTTTAAATTCTTGTTTTTTAGAATGTTTATTTTGCAGATGTCTATTGAGAGTATGCCTAGTTCTGATTCTAGGCTCTGCTATCTAACATCATCGGAGGTAGGAACAGTGGTTATAACGGTGTGATAGATATTCCTAACACAATTGAAATGATATTCATCTAAAGGTTTGACAAATATATCTAACAAGATTAAAATGATATTTCTGACTAAAAGTGTGATATATCTAACAATGCTACGTTTAGTTAACTGTTTTAAAGATATATATTTTTAAAAAATTTATGTTTAATTATTGGTGTGATAGATATATTTGATTCCAACAAAAGTAATTGAGTCTTTGGAACAAAATCAAACATTTAAACCTCAATATCTTTAGAGCCCGATGTTGTAAACCTTTGATATTTCAAACTAAGATTATTTGATCTAACAGAATTCATAGTTTGAAATATCTAAGGTCTACAACATTTAGTTCCAAAGATATAGGGATTAGAAAATCAGAGCTTGTGGCAAAGACTCAATTCCTTTGTTTGAAATATTTAAGTTACTAGTATAATGGAACTAGCAGAGCTTGTTACATAAATCAAAATGTAAAATCGACATTTTTAACCAAAACTTTATTCTTCTTATTATAATATCTTTGCAACCTGATGGTGTAATCCTTTGACATTGACAACTAGATATAGCAAACTTTGTAGTTTGAACAGTTTTAAGAAATCGGCTTTTGCAAAGATATTAGGATTAAAAAATTCAATCAGTTTTCTTTAAAAATTTTCAGGTTTATTTGTACAATAAAAATGAATGAATGAATAAAGCTGAATTGCTCTGTAACCATGAACAACTAAATTTGCATAATTCGAAACTTTAAACAAAGTAAAAATTTCTTTTTGTGAAAGAATTATATTAAATTAGTTTTCAGTTTTCATTTTATAGTTTTAAACTTTTTACATGAGCAATTGTTGTTTTTGAAATCATATATTTTTTATGAATAGCATGCAATACTTTGACTTTGGTATTAGTTTTTTTTTAAAGCATGGAAATATTTTTTAAATTTCTCTTTCTGTGGCATGCTTTTCAGTTGCGGAGTCAAGAGAAGAAACACCAAAATGTTTGTGAATGTAAGTTGATGGGATGCAAGTGTGGGAATGAAAATATATCTTATAACGTGAAGATCAGAATTGGTTCAGATTCAGAGGTGTGTTTTCAAAACCCACCACCAGATGTAGTTAATTGCAGATAGATTATTTCACAATTAGTTCGCAATATTTCATAGTTAGGTCACAATCGCAATATATCATAGTTAGGACACAATCGCAATATTTCATAGTTAGGTCACAATCGCAATATACGTCACTGAAATTTCGCAAGTTTTTTACTGTAAGTTCGCACTTTAATCATGATACACAACAAATTGATTATTATACATCACAATTTGATAGAATGCATCACAATTTGATGATGATCAAATTAATATTATGATACATCATGGTTGGTTATAAACATATCACAATAATATTTGTAACTATTGCATAGTTCTTTATTCTTAATATTAATAATATAGTCATATTCTTATTTATGTGTAGTGATACCCAGTATAGAGCAGAATGAATATCGTCTTCGTACAACTTTCAGAGATATTGCCTAGCTTTGCAAATCATGAAAGTTCTTTGCAAAACTTCTAACGAAAAGAAAGAACGAAGACAATACTTTTTACGTTTTACATTGATTAAACCAGTTTAAATACGCTCATATATTGACTAATTAACTTATTGGTTGATTGATTGAATTGATTTGATATGTATCTAGGAACCCCCCCTGTCACCAGGACAGTATAAGATCTGGGTACATGAGTGATCATGAGCTAAGGATAAGCTATGATAGATCTAGGATCGGACCCATCTCTAAAAGTTCCGAAGCTGTACACCAACAGGTATTATAATGGATTGTGCTGTACTGAAATGTACTGTACTATACTGTACTGTACTGTACTGTACTGTACTGTACTGTACTGTACTGTACTGTACTGTACTGTACTGTACTGTACTGTACTGTATTTGATAATAATTTTTGGTGGATTTTTAAAATTTTACAAAAATATAAAATTTTTGGAGAAAACTTTTTAAATTCTGAGCATCCATAAACCTCTCCTAGGGTCACACAAGGTCCCACAAAAAATGTTGGCCCCAATATGTTCAGCCGTTTTGACGTTTATTGGATTCAAACAGACACGCAGACAAGCAAAGTAAATATATAGACTAGGCTTCGCGCCCATCTTCTATTTCAACTTTTAATTGTGGCTTTATCTTTGAGCATCTTCTCTTTGTATACAGTATAAAACAAAAACAAAACAAAAATTTGCGGATTTGTAATATTTTTTGCGTGCTTTTTCAAAACTCTACGAAACACAAATTTTTAAAATTTTGATAATTCATAAACCTTCCCTTGGGTTACACGAGGGCCCACAAAAAAGTTGGCCCTGATCTGCTACGTTCTCCTGTTTTGACGGATACAAACAAACAGACTGACACTCAAACAAGCAAAGTGTATATAAAGATTGTATAGATACCGAATTTTAAAAAATATTTAAATTTTTTAAAAAGAATTTTCAATTTTAATTTCTTAGAACTCTCTGATGTGTCAAGTTTTTGAGAAATCAAGTTTAACTCTGTCAATTTAGTTAAAAAGGTTGGGGAAAATAAAGTTGATAAATTAAAAGATGTATTTTCATCTTGTAATTATGTTCAACAATTTCCCCTCTCCCCCCCTTTGTGACAGGTTAATCTATTTCTAATTATTTGTCAATAGATAAAACTTAATGGATGGTTAAGAGGGAAATAAATTTGTACTTAAATTCTTCTTTTACAAGCTTTATACACACCACGCTAACCTTACAAGAGGTCCAAACCAGGGGCGCATTCATGGGAGGGTGACCTTGGGGGCTAAGCCCCCAACCCCCGGACCAATGAAACTTATTGATTTCAGGGAGTTTTCAGGCCCCAACGAGTGCTGAGCCCCCCCCTGGAAAGATAAAAAATGTAAGCCCCTCCCCCGGACAAATTCCTGAATACGCCCTGGTTCAAACTATTAATTCTTTAGCTAATTTAGTTCGACAGATCCAAGGTTATAATGCAAGGAAAGTTATTTCAGAGGTGTGCGCATCTTTTGTCCTGCAGTGTACGGATGTCACAGCCTTACATGGGATCCATCTTTCACATAAAAAATCAATGAAATATTTTGGTCATATGAAACTATTATGTGAATTATCAAAATTATCAAAATTAAATGCTTTTATCCTCCTCGAAAACTGATGCATCTATTTTTGTTTACAAATTCCGCCCAGAGAGAACTTACATTATATATATCCTTGGACAGATCATGCAAGTTACTTGTATTCGAAAATCTCGAAAGGCCAATGAGAGATCACGAAATACTTTTAAGCTATTGTTTACGAATTAAGCATTAATCGCCAGGTATATCATGTTCGGTTGAATCAGATTAGCGCTGTTTTTAATGAAAAAGTTCCGAACTCAGAGCTAAATGATGAAAATAGAATATAAATCTAACATTGATTCCGAATTTGCATTTTTTGAAATTTGCCTGTGTTGAATTTATTTTCCTGTGTTAGCCACATTTTTAGTTTGATATTAATTCCACCCAAGGTGTTTGTAAATTTGACTTCTCTCTTTAATTTTCTTCTTTTCTTATCACCGCCATCTGTCCAATTTGTAGTGGTGGAAGAATTAATGAAGAAAAATTAATCAAATATTTCAGCAATTCTTTTTTGTCCATTTTTTATTTACACAAGATTATTAAAAAAGTTTATCAAATCTAAAAGGTTATTAAATCTAAAAGGTTATTAAATCTAAAAGGTTATCAAATCTAAAAGGTTATTAAATCTAAAATTATGGGTTCGATATCGAAAATATTTCATATAAATGTTCATTGATAAATATACTGATAATGGATGGTTCGGCTTTAATATTCTACAGCAAAATTTTGAAAAAAAGTTTGTTTTTAAATTCTTGTTTTTTAGAATGTTTATTTTGCAGATGTCTATTGAGAGTATGCCTAGTTCTGATTCTAGGCTCTGCTATCTAACATCATCGGAGGTAGGAACAGTGGTTATAACGGTGTGATAGATATTCCTAACACAATTGAAATGATATTCATCTAAAGGTTTGACAAATATATCTAACAAGATTAAAATGATATTTCTGACTAAAAGTGTGATATATCTAACAATGCTACGTTTAGTTAACTGTTTTAAAGATATATATTTTTAAAAAATTTATGTTTAATTATTGGTGTGATAGATATATTTGATTCCAACAAAAGTAATTGAGTCTTTGGAACAAAATCAAACATTTAAACCTCAATATCTTTAGAGCCCGATGTTGTAAACCTTTGATATTTCAAACTAAGATTATTTGATCTAACAGAATTCATAGTTTGAAATATCTAAGGTCTACAACATTTAGTTCCAAAGATATAGGGATTAGAAAATCAGAGCTTGTGGCAAAGACTCAATTCCTTTGTTTGAAATATTTAAGTTACTAGTATAATGGAACTAGCAGAGCTTGTTACATAAATCAAAATGTAAAATCGACATTTTTAACCAAAACTTTATTCTTCTTATTATAATATCTTTGCAACCTGATGGTGTAATCCTTTGACATTGACAACTAGATATAGCAAACTTTGTAGTTTGAACAGTTTTAAGAAATCGGCTTTTGCAAAGATATTAGGATTAAAAAATTCAATCAGTTTTCTTTAAAAATTTTCAGGTTTATTTGTACAATAAAAATGAATGAATGAATAAAGCTGAATTGCTCTGTAACCATGAACAACTAAATTTGCATAATTCGAAACTTTAAACAAAGTAAAAATTTCTTTTTGTGAAAGAATTATATTAAATTAGTTTTCAGTTTTCATTTTATAGTTTTAAACTTTTTACATGAGCAATTGTTGTTTTTGAAATCATATATTTTTTATGAATAGCATGCAATACTTTGACTTTGGTATTAGTTTTTTTTTAAAGCATGGAAATATTTTTTAAATTTCTCTTTCTGTGGCATGCTTTTCAGTTGCGGAGTCAAGAGAAGAAACACCAAAATGTTTGTGAATGTAAGTTGATGGGATGCAAGTGTGGGAATGAAAATATATCTTATAACGTGAAGATCAGAATTGGTTCAGATTCAGAGGTGTGTTTTCAAAACCCACCACCAGATGTAGTTAATTGCAGATAGATTATTTCACAATTAGTTCGCAATATTTCATAGTTAGGTCACAATCGCAATATATCATAGTTAGGACACAATCGCAATATTTCATAGTTAGGTCACAATCGCAATATTTCATAGTTAGGTCACAATCGCAATATACGTCACTGAAATTTCGCAAGTTTTTTACTGTAAGTTCGCACTTTAATCATGATACACAACAAATTGATTATTATACATCACAATTTGATAGAATGCATCACAATTTGATGATGATCAAATTAATATTATGATACATCATGGTTGGTTATAAACATATCACAATAATATTTGTAACTATTGCATAGTTCTTTATTCTTTCTATCTATCCAATCAAAATCAACACGACTGATCAACAAAAGACCACTTAAAGCGGCTAGGGTGAGACTATAATGAAGAAAATGTGGCTCGGAGGGGAAAATTATGTGGATGGCATAGACAAGAAATCAAGAATTCTAGAATCTAGAGACGTACAAAATCAACAAGTTCAACAAAAACTGTCGAAATTGTCAGCGGTCTAAGCTTCAGGTTAACACATATCTAAGGAATTACAAGTAGTCTAGTAGAATCTCTCTAGTAGAGAAACATAGAATCCTGCTCGTTTGCGTATTAATATTTAATTTATTTGTTTCATAAATAGGTTTTCAGAATATGGCTGAATTCATGATGTTAATCTATAATGAAATTTACTTTAGCTTATTGTGCATTTTGCAGCCTAAACTTCTATTCCTTTTATTTATATACCCTGTTGAAATAAAGTGTATTTAATGTGCAGTAGAAACCACTCTGTAACTGTAACAAATTGTATACTGCTGTGCAGTTAGAGTGTCTTCTTTTATTGCAGTAATGTGTATATATACTGTAGGAGGATAGAAATATTATACATAGTAAAGGAATAATTTATAATAATTCTCATAATAAATACATTACCGACCTGGCTTCTTTCTTTTCAAGCTTGGGTAGCAGTGCACACAGGCTTTTCTTATACAAACATTATATATTTTCTTTACTCACTGTCATCTAAAGGTTGCCAGCTCAGCACGTAAAATTCTAGGAGAATTTTGCCAATTACTTTTTAAATTAAGGCTAATAATGAGAACTTTTCCAGTACTAGAATGTAAAAGGGGTACAACCAAATATGTGTAAGATAGTGCAGTACAAAATCTACCTTATATATAAAAGCTTTCTTTTAATTAAAAAACGATATTTTTTTCAAAAGTTTGTTCGAAAAAATCTTACTGTCAATTAAAAACTATTGTCTTGTAAAAAGTTTAAAATTCTACAATAAATTTTCAAATACTCACAATTTCTTTATTATCAATTTGACTTAACAAAGCCACTGAAAAAGTTACTTACAAATGGTAATTGAACATGCTTTAAGTAAAAATCATTTTTAAGAAATGATTCTAAAAAATAATTTGTTTTTTCTCAAACTTATGTCTATTGAGAGTATNTTCAATAAAAATTTCTATTTTAGAAAGCGAGGAATACTTCTCAGATTAACAGTATTTTTTGAAACATTTTTATTGATTTCGTTGATTTTTTTGAATTACATAATATTATCAATTATATCTATTAAAAATAAAAAAGACTATAAATTAGTAATTGGAGAAAACCTAAGTTACAATAAGCTTTCTCTGGAATATCTTTGTTTTCAGATTGGTTGCGTATTTGCAAAATATGATCTGTTTAAACCTACCATTTCTATACAAAATTTCTCGAGACAGGAACATCAGCTATAACTTTGATGGGTCACGATCAAGAGCTAAAGTGATAAGCTTTCAGCCATTACCCCCTTTCATTTTTCTTTTATACAGTCCCTTTAAAACTAACAGAAGTCCAATATTTTACGGGTCCCACTGTAGGTATAAAGATTCTCTGTTCAAGAAATATTTTCTTTATTCTGTTTGTCGTCTTTGCTCAGTATCCGGATAGATAATGGTAAACGTTACCAAATTTTACCGATGTTGAATAAAAGAGGTTGTTGTGAGTTTGTTCTCTGCCAGCCTCTGGGAGCCTCTACCAGTCCTCTCCCACATCTGCCAGCAGCCTCTATCAGTCCCCGTACATCCTTGGGCCGGACTGTGTCTTCGAGGCCTTATCCTCTCTAGTGTTTACGTCGTTCTTCCGGGTTTCTCGTTTGCTTCCGGTCTTTTTTATTCCACTTCCGGCTTCCTAGTCGCCGTTAATAGATAGCGAAACGATAAATTGATAATACTAAAGTACAAAGTTATATTATTTTTTAAATCGAATTTTAATTGATTTATTTTCTTGTTAACCCCGTGCACGGTGCAGTACATTGTATAACATTGTATGTACTGTATATTCGTTTACATTCTCTGTGTTTATCACGAAGTGACATCATATCTGTGTCATGTACATTGTACAGTGATGTCCAAAAAGCTGTGGAATCTAAAAACCAGGAAGTCTTTTAATCCAGGTGTAAGCCAATATATCGACACTGAGAAGGTTGTACTATTAGTATTTTTGAATTCTTTGTCTTTAATTAGTAAATACTACTACTTCCCCTTATATCCCCCCACCCTTCAGGGCTGAGGTTTTGCTAAATGTAATTTTTGAATTACTAACATTTTATACTTGATATTAATTGTTAAAGGGGGGGGGGTAATCTTTGAAACAGAGATCTTACAAGTGACAAAAATGTTAAAATTGAAAAAAGGTTATTTTTATGAATGTATTTTCTCGTGCATTTCTGCATTTAAAGATGAATACTGACAAATACATGAAAGAGACATTTTGCATCGTATATATATATATAGATATATATCTCATAAAGGACGAAATCAAGACATTGGCTCATAGTTAGGTCACAATCGCAATATACGTCACTGAAATTTCGCAAGTTTTTTACTGTAAGTTCGCACTTTAATCATGATACACAACAAATTGATNTGGTTTTTTTTATTTTTAAAATTATTAAAAATATTTATAAATCTTTAACTTTTGTTGATTTGTGATTGTCTATGTGTGTCGTCTAGTCTTTTTTTGTCAAGTCTTTGTTTGTTGTCTGGTCAAAGTTTGTTGTCCAGTCTTTATTTGTTGTCTAATCTTTATTTGTTGTCTAGTCTTTGTTAGTTTTCCAGTCCTTATTTGTTGTCTAGTCTTTGCTATATGTCTATTGTTTGTCGTCTAGTCTTTATTTGTTGTCTAATCTTTATTTGTTGTCTAGTATTTATTAGTTTTCCAGTCTTTATTTGTTTTCTAGTTTTTGTTATATGTCTATTGTTTGTTGTCTAGTCTTTATTTGTTGTCTAGTCTTTGTGGTATGTCTATTGATTGTTGTCTAGTCATTGCTTGTTGTCTAGCATTTGTTGGTTGTCTTTGTTTGTTGTCTAGTTTTTGTTAGTTGTCCAGTCTTTATTTTTTGTCTTGTCTTTGTTTGTTGTCCAGTCTTTGTTTGTTTTTTAGTCTTTGTTTTTGTCTAGTCTTTGTTTTTGTCCAGTCTTAGTTTGTTGTCTAGTCTTTGTGTGTTGTCCAGTCTTTATTTGTTGTCTAGTCTTTGTTGTATGTCTATTATTCAAAAAGGCTTAATTTCAAGTGACCTCACATCGATGGGAAGGATCCAGCGGTACCCTTTCAACCTTGAACTTATCAAGGATGGCAGAATTTTTATTTGTTTATTTATTGGTATTTGTTTGCGAGCTGTTTAATGAAATATTAATATTTACTTCGTAAAAGTGGAAGAATTTGAATATTCATGTTTGAGTTTTTGAAAACCGTGTTGGAATATTATAGATTTTCCAGGAAGAAATGTGACGTCATTCACCATCGAACAGTCAAATGTAAAGGCTTTTCACACAGCATTTAAGAGATATATACAATAAGATCTCCATCGATCATCAGTCGACTGTTGAAGGATACCATTACTAATCAGGGATGTCCATTTTAAAACTTGAACTCCCTTAAAGTCCCTTATAGTCCCTTTTACCTTTAGTTCTTATATTTGTACTGTATACTCTATACAGTCCCTTTAAGTTCTTATATTTGTACTTTATACTCTATACAGTCCCTTTAAGTTCTTATATTTGTACTTTATACTCTATACGACATTTTACTTTTACTTTATAATGTGAATTGTATTGTTGATAGACTCATGAAAATCCTAATATTAATGTTTGTTAAGCTTATTAGATATCATATTCATACTTAGTAGCAACACTAACCCCCCCCCGCT